AAGCCCGGAAGCCTGCCCCTATCGAAAATGCCAGCATGAACCAAAAACAAATGAGAACGGGCTGATTTTTGAACTATCCCCCCCCCCCCCCTCCTTCCCCCCTCTTGCCCAAATTGCGTGCACACACACATGAAACCTTTGCATATTTTTCTCCATCTCCCTTTCCCCAGCCCTTCTCCCTCCACACACACATCCAAGAAGGGGGAAAAAAGACCCACACTATGGTTGCATGCAAGTCCTTAGCGTGAGACAGAGACATGTAAGGAAGAACGCCGATCAGTGTCCACCAAAAGGCAACCGTCTCTTTAATCAGTACCGAGTTTCACACATGCAAGGCGATATGTACGTGAGCAAAGTAGCAAATACGAAGGTCTGAAAATGTGCAGAACATGGCCGAGCCATGTGCCGCCAAAGAAAGAGAAGCACGGAGAACATGAAGAACAGCATGCTGGCGTCCGCTTGCTAACTTCATATGAACCGGTATGTAGAATCGGGAGTTGCACGCCTGTAATTGCGCCGATCGTCGTGCACGTGGTGGTCAACGGGAGCTGCAGGTGGACAGCATCGCTGGCAGGAGCTACAGGCTGTCGTCGATGCAGTTCATCATCGGTGATGTTCATAGTTATCCTGTGCTTGGAGGAAACAGACCGCGCACCGAACAACATCCACCCTGTAAGAGAGGAGAAGCAGACATCGACATTCGAAACATTTTCGGACTGTTAATAAGGAAGCAGATATGGAGATAGCACTGGAGGAGGGGGAGGGTGGGGGGAAGGTGCAGATTACACACAATGGTATTGCTCTCAGACGTTGCTTGGCCGTATGTCTTCACCATGCACACTTGCTCGATCAAGTTGAAGGAAGGAAGCAGAGAGAAAGCGAGAGATGAGGCGGGTGACCAAAGGAGTTGGGACGTCACACACACACACACACAGAGAGAGAGAGAGAGAGAGAGAGAGAGAGAGAGAGAGAGAGAGAGAGAGAGAGAGAGAGAGAGAGAGAGGTTATTCGATTATCAATTCATTGCTTGGCCGTAAGTCTTCACCATGCACACTTGCTTGATCAAGTCGAAGGAAGGAAGGGGAGAGAGAGGGGGAGATTAGGAAGGTGACCAAAGGAGTCTGGACGTTAGAGAGAGAGACAGGGATTTTGACATCGTGAGGGATCGCACAGGACCAAGGAGGTGCTGATTTTGTAGAAGACGAGTGATTAATTGATCCATGTATTGGTGATCAAGCACATTGGCTGATTGATTGCTGACGTGGCATTGGTCACGATTGATTAATGGATTCAGAAGCAGGTGACTGAATCAATCAATCAATCCTGCTCGTTGCCACGTCAACATGCTCAAACAACAAAACACACACACACACACACACACACACAACATGCTGATACTCGTCGTCTCTTTCACTTTCGCTGCAGCAGATGCAGCTTCCCTCGACTCTTCTGCTCTCTGACCAAGACTGTCGTATTGACGCTGCAGACGAGAAGTTGCGTCGTGGAGTACAAGTATATGCCCATCGTTCTCAGAGACAGCATCATTTTCCACTGCCCGTACTGTGAACTTAGGCCCCTAGATGATCGAATCCTTGCCGTGTGAAGAAAACTGCCCCAGTTTTCTGTCAAGAACCAGACTCCTCATCGTGGAAGCCTCAACAAATTTATTCATTTGTCACGATGCAATCCAACGGCACGGTTGAACCGCCGCCTTTCCAGCATGTTTTCGACTCTTTCCTTCAGCACCTGCATAACAACATATGTCCCTTGTGCAGTCTCCTGACGAGGAGGCGACGAGGGTCCCTCTCATCACCTCCTGATCAGGAGACTGCACAAGGGACATGTGCTGTTATGCAGGTGCTGAAGGAAAGAGTCGAAAAGATGCTGGAAAGGCGGCTGTTCAACCGTGCCATCAGATCACACCGCGACAATGAATAAATTCATTGAGGCTTCCGCGATGAGGAGGTCAGGGTTGTACTTTCTTATCTGATTCTTGACGGGGAACCACAGCGGTTTTCTTCACAGGGCAAGGATTCGATCATCCAGTGCCTAAGGTTCACAGTACGGGTAGCGGAAAATAATGTCGTCTCAGAGAATAAGCAGCGTATACTTGTACTTCATGACACAACTGCTCGTCTACAGTGTGCCCACAACATCAACATCGTTACATGCATCAGCAACAGCATAAACCGTGGTGAACTCACTCTTCGATAAAACTCCTCAGGCCCTGGAAGAGTGAGTGCACCAGGGCCTGAGACATCGTTGACTCCCAGTGCCGTCGTCAGCCGCGTGCGTAATTCGGACAAGACCAAAATGATGGGCACCCTTGGATCATCAGAGTCATCCAAAATCCCATCCTTTCTTTACAGTTCCGTCATCTCATCAGTCCATGATCCGAATGCTCTGAACCTCGCCTTGGAGACGACGTCATCATCCCAACCCAGCACCTCCTTATTCAGAAACCAAGACCAAGACAAGGGAGAATAACTCCCAGCCATCTTCGCTGAACACTGCAATGGCGAGAAATCACTCCTGATTCGGTCTGAGTTGTGGTATTGGGATGTCACCACCAGCAGTCAATTTATTAACATTGATGTCTTGGTTGAGCTACAGACCTCGCGGCTATGGCAGACACGGCAATGGGCAATGGCAACACTGCCAACGGCTATGGCGATGGTGACCATGGCTATGGGGGCAATGGTGACCACAGCTATGGCGATGGTGATCACGGCTATGGCTGCAAAGGCAACAAAGACAGCCACTGTGCCGCGGATAGCCACAGCTATTACAGCGAGGACTGAACGCAACGAAGAAGATAGCTGGCTATGGCGGACAAGATGAACAAGATGAAGGAGATGGTAGGCGACTACCACCTGAACGTTTCACCGCACCGTAGACACACACATGACCAAACCCTCACCTCTCCTATTACCTTGGTTCGTTCTTCGTGCTATATTCCAGCGTTGTCGCCGCATTCTTCCACCGTTCTTCCAATCAATGATCCACATTACGTCTCCTACTACCACGTAATCCCGCACTAAGTATCACAAAGAACTCCTCCTATCAGACGAAACCCCTACCCTCTGCTTTCCCAGACTATCAGATTCGTACATCACAGATTCACAAGTGACAACCATTCAATCTCAAAGGTGGCACGAAGAACTGGTCTCCCAGGATCTCACTTCTGATGTTCCAATCTGATAGTCTGGGAAAGTAGAGGGTAAGCGTTTGGTCTGATAGAACCAGTTCTTTGTGATACTTAGCGCGGGATCACGTGGTAAGCGGAGGCGCACCAGGGATCATCGATTGGAAGAACGGTGGAAGGGGCAGAGACGAAAGAAGAAGTGAATTGAGTCGAGTGTATGTAGGATTGAATGCTCCTTTACATATTACTACCTGTGATTGCAGTACACAAAACAATTAAACCAAAAAAAAAAGAACAGCAAAAGAAAAATATCGATCCCCGCAGGCGAGACTTCAGGCACAACGACGACAAACCAAACAAGTAGCAGTACTACAGCATTTAAAAAAGCAAAAGGCAAAATTCATTTGTTAGCAAAGAATTGCTCAAAGGGGGAAGGAGTGGGGGAAGGAGGAGGGGTGGAGGAGGACCTGAATAGAAGCCACCCAGCCTACAAGCCATCTGGAAAACGCCACGAAAAATTCGCTAATCATGTAACTGGAACTGGTACCGATGGCAACATTGACGGTCAATCGCCATGTGGACATTTTAGGGACCAATTGTATACAAGGTGACAATCGACGATGTGTCCACGACTGCCAGATTCTCCAGAGCACTCCTCCTTGTAGCTAGCCAATTGACTTTCCGCTTCGTGTTAATGGTAAGAACCAAGGGTTTCGACTCGCCCATCTCGGCGCCACAAGCGCCAGATCCGCCACCAACCGCCGGCAATGAACTCCGCAGGGACGACTGTACATCTAACCCCGCTGGCGCTAGCTCTTGCTGAACAGAAACGGGCTTTCGTAATTGCCAGACGCGAACCTGCCTGTCATTTCCTCCAGATACGGCAAACTCTCCAGGATTGGACATCTTCGCAAAAGTCACATGAGAAACAGCTGCTGCATGTGAGCCGAGCATTCCCAAACTTATGGGCGATGTCTGGTCACATGCACCTACAGGCGCTGGTCGCTTTCCCCGGTCCTTGCCCCGTGAACCGCTGCCCTTTCGCTGTTGCTCCTTTGATGATGATCCCAAAGCAGCCTCGGCATCCAGATCGTAGACTGCAACTGCACCGTCCCCTCGGCCCGCAACAAGAAGACTCGAGACATCGCTTGCGCAATCTTCCTCGCACACGGCCAGTGCGTGCACCATTGGCGGATTACACATCCTGCTCTGACCGACTCCCTCAGCTTCAGAATCGTCCAATGTCGATTCGGCCGATAGATTCCACTCCTTTCTCACCCTCCCCGTTGAGAAATCCCACTTGAGGATTCGCGAGTCGAGGCCCCCCGACACGACCTCCCACGGCCTTCTCGGATGAAACTGCACACTCGTACAGATATTCGAATGACCCCTCCTCAAGGTTTTGAACACGCTGTTCGTCCTAAGATCTACGACCTTCACCTCGCCGATATCGTCAGCAGCAGCCAAGAAGTTCCCCTTTCGATTAAGGGTTACCTGATTGACCTCCTCTCCGGCGACCTTGAACGTACGAATCGGCTCCGTGTCACCGCCTCCCTTCCTAACGTCAAACGCATAAACAACAGTTCCTGCTGCTGCATAAAGGATGTGGTCCCCACTCATTGAGAAGCGCACAGACGTCACAGCATCCTGCGCAAACCTCCCAGTGTAAACTTGGCAGCAAGCGTGCGACGGTACGTCGAAAACGCGAATGGACGAATCCTCACCACCCGTTGCAAGCAGTCCTCCTGAGGCGTCAAAATCACAGCAACACACTGTGTCCGTATGACCCCTCAGGCGACTGGAAATAGACGACGTGGTGCTGGGGACTTGTGAATTTGTCTCTGGACGCTCCATTTGCGACGGACGAAGAGAGGAATGAAAAAGTTATGGGATGCAGATGTGGCTGCTGGGAAATTGTCGGGACAACAGCTGCAGTTCCTGGAAGTTCCAATTATGTCCCTTGCTACGGAAACCCGCAAATTTGTTGTGCATGGTTTTCACAAAACTTCACGCAAGATCGAAAGCAGAGTTACAAACACTCTACGATACCAAGCTCATCGTCCATATTGTTTTCGTTTGCAAATCAAATCAGCACATTTTCTAGGGCACATTCTGACCGATACGACATCTGCTTCAATGGGTTGATGTTCCCGCCCAATCTGGCATGTGGTGCTTAAGCGAGCGTACACATATGCTAGAAAAACAGAAAGAAAGAGAGAAAGAGAGTACCAGAGGGGAGAGAGAGAGAGAGAGAGAGAGAGAGAGAGAGAGAGAGAGAGAGAGAGAGAGAGAGAGAGAGAGAGAAAGAGAGAGAGAGAGAGAGAGCTTTTGCAAATCTTCAATAACAATTCTCCCTCTCTCCCAAGCAATTTCCCTCTCTAGCAGATCCTCAGTAGCAGTTCTCCCTCCCAAGCTCAGCCTGAAAAGCACCACAAACACAAATCGCCACATCAAAATGCCAGAACATGTCGGATGAGGTCAGAACAAACTAGTCGAGTTTGATTCACTCCATTACTCCATTGAGTGCTCACCAACTGAGTCAATTTGCCAGGTAATGTAATCCCCTCCTAGCATGCAAAAAACACGTAGCTAACGCACACATCCCAGTCAAGACACAACCGTGACGCAGTCTTCAACTGGTTGGTTCCCACTTCCCAGTGGACTCTCTCTCTCTCTCTCTCTCTCTCTCTCTCTCTCTCTCTCTCTCTCTCTCTCTCTCTCTCTCTCTCTCTC